CTAGCGCGTGGGGGCACGTGCGGCCTCCAAAAATTTATTTAAAAATTTCTCGACGTCCGTGACGTCGAGTAGGTCGATGTGGTATATTCATATACCCAAATTGAGCATCGTATGAGAAGTTATTTCGAATTGTTGGTTATGTGTTTAAATTAACGTTTTTATAGTTGTTTCGCATATAGGTGACACTTATCCCGAGGACGAGCGCATCCAGGGACGTCACGGGGGTTACGACCCATCGACTTATCAATGAGTGGGCAGTTTTGTTTTCGTATTACCTATATACAACTGTTTTTCCCTGAAAATGCGTTTATATGAAAATTATGATTTAAATTGCCATGCATGCAAATGTTGAGATATTTAGTTTGATAATGGATGCATATATATGTTAATTGACGCGGTGGACGCACATGTGAGTTTTTATATTATTCAGATAAGTTATTTTATGAGAATTGCATTGAAAGCTCATAACCTGCACCCTAGGTGTTAGTGCTTATATTATTATTCACCACACCGCACGCTCGTCTTGGATCCAAGTAGGTGGATGTCGTACAGACCATGTGAGGGTTCCGACATGCTAGTCGTATAGTTCACTAGATGTGATTCCGACTAGTGGGTGACCTTAGTTATGCGCGCTGATGATTGATGAGAGAAGCACTAGAGCGTATTTATACACCTTTCATCGTACAGACTACTATATATAGTTCCGAGTGATGTGCAGTGTAGTACCGTACAGGTCATAGTTGGTGACTCCGGCAGGGCCGTATAGGTCACTGTGGTGACTCCGGCTGAGTGGGATGTTGAGCTTTAGAATCAGCCGTACAGGACCATTGTAGGGTCTCCGGTTGATTTATTATTTCACCTGATTGATATTGATGCATTTCTGATTATATTTGGCATGGCGTGGCATATTATTTCTGAGATGTTATGTTGATGGATATGAGCTGAGTTTTGATGATATGTGTATATATATGTTTATATACTATTTTTCTGGGAAAGTATACAGGTTTTACGGTGAGGGGTTAGAAATGTTTTGGGAAAATCTTTGATTTTACTGACCCACTCATCTTTGTTTTGCGCCCCTCCAGGTTCTAGTTAGCGGTTGGTGACTCTCGAGGTCTTTTTCCGGCATTCTGACAGACGCTCTACATGTAGGACTCACCTGCGGGTGTTGTACTTTTATTTTGGTCCTACTTGACTGCACTTAAACCTATGCTCTGAATTTATGTGTTTACCTTATAACTCATCCTTTTATTCTAGTAGGTGGTTCTACTAGAGATTGGTTTGAATTCCTTCATATTCTGTTATATCTTGCTTCCGTGTCGCACTTTTGGTTATGTCACGCTCACGTGACGGCCAGCACGCCTTGATCCTCTGGGTCGGGGTGTGTCAAGATTGTGATGTGACCAATAATTTAGGTAGTTTTGTATAATTTACCCTATATATTAATTATGACATCATATACACATACTCATATATATTATTAATCACTGTCATTGCAAAAATATGCGATATTTCTTCTGACCTGTTTGTAATACGCCTCTGAGTAAGTGTGAACCATGTTGAGAATTTTGAAAGCTTTGAACATTTGCATCAACAAATGTATGCCGGGTGCATCCATAAATGTTTAGATGTATTTTATATTTCGATATTCCAATTTTTGACAATTTTTTTTTTTTTTTTTTTTGGAAAGTGGGATCCAAAAGGATCGCCAACGAGAAGCTTTTATTAAAACAAACACACACTTATAAACAAAATAAAGGCCTAATTTATTCTTAGAAACAAACAAAGAACAAGCCCAAAAATAAAGAAAACATAGAAAATGAGCCCAACAATAGTGAAGCCCAAACAAAAAACGAACATCCGAGAAACATCCACTGTGCTCTCCACCGCCAATCCGATAAGCAGTCAGCCATCCAAACCTCCATTCACCGCCAATCATCATCTCCACAGGCGCCACCTGCACACAGCCATCAACAAGAGATAATTGGCGAAAGAGAAGCCAACCATCCAAAAGAAGCTTCAGGAAAATCCCAAGCAACACTACCGCGAACGGCAAACAACAAGGAGAACGTGGTGGTATGGGAAACACCCGAGCCATATACAACACCGGAACTCTACACATGAACTCTACAAAAACCATGGCTGAAAACAAAGCACGGAAGGGCCATGAAAAGGGAAACCCATGGAGGTTGAGGGATGGGAAAAGCCAAAGAGGAAAAGGAGAAGAACCATCAGCAGATGGAAGGGGAGAAGAAAGAAAAAACAAAAGCAAAAAAAGCAGAGGAAAAGGAGAAAGACCATCAGCAGATGGAAGGGGAGAAGAAAGAAAAAGCAAATACAAAAAACCACCCACCAATCCCAGTCGTAGCTAGGATCGGCGACACTAAACGGAAGCACGATCGGGAAATCACTCACACAATATGGTGAGAAACACCCTCAAACTGAGGGAAGAAGTCTCACAAGGAGAGAAAAGAGAAAAGACATTTTTGACAGTTTTGTTCAACAAAAGGTAGGGGTTCATCTGTGTCTGATTACCAAAAGCTGTAGACTAAATTGATTATCAGGCTTGTAGAAAAAGTATAGCACACTTTCAGCAACATACCAAGAAACATGTAGGTTTTTAGCATCATACCAAAAAACATGCACGCTGAATCATTATAGTTGCAAAAAAACAGAAACCGAACTAAATCGAACCAAAATCAAACCAAACCGAACAAAATTGAAAAAAATTGAGATTCGGTTTGGTTTCGATTTTGACAAAGAACCAAACTGATTAGAACTAAACCCACCCCTATTTGAAACCTCAACTTCACTCGGTGTCCACATAAGCATGCACCTAGGGGTGAGCTTTTAGTGGGTCTACCAACCTGAACCTATTGGATTGGCCAACATATTGAAATCTGACATAACCAACCCAACCGATGCCCACCCCTATCTGCATGTGATTCAATATAAAAAAAAAAGAAAAGCTACTACCAAATATCGTTACTTCACATTATTCCAATATAAAAGACGGTGAATGGAAAATGGAAGCTTTGGAAAGCGGAAAGAACCTCTAGTCCTATGCATTTTTGTGTCAAATAGAATATTAAAATAACTCGCGCATAGCATTCCATGATATATAAATAACCTATTATCGCTTGAGGTTAGTAATAAATAAAACAATTTAAAATAACCAACAAACATTTATGTTTTAATTTTTATTTGTAGAGTACTAACGAACGGTATATTGTGGAAAGCAAAATTTTGTTCTTTCTAAGAGAATTACCTTCTTTTTTTGAAGAATTGAGTTAAATTAAGAAACCCAAGGCTAAGAAGCCAAACAGAAGCAAGAGAGCCTACGACAAGGCAAACACAACGAAATAAAGACCAAGCAAAGCAGTGAGCAGGGATACAACAACCGACACAATCACTAAGAGATAGTGTCACCCCAAACCCACCACAACCTGCTAATGAGGGCAAGGCAGTCCGTCATTACTTAATGCATGAACTAACGAAGATGGGGGTCTGTCAACCCAAACAAAATCACACATCTCCGTAAAATCAGCCGACGCAAGAACATCCGCTGCCAAATTGGCTGATCTTGGAACCCAAGACCAGCGACAGTTCTGAAAAGCTGATCCCAACCTTTGAGCTCTAGCCAAAATGGGGAAAGCCTCCCAACTGCCATTTTCAAGAGAACCATTTAAATAGGAAATAGCCTGAAGAGAGTCAGATTCAATGATAACAGAACTGAAACCCAACGAGGCACCCAATTCACAACCACGCAGGATCGCAAAAGACTCAGCCACAAGAGAAGAATGAGCCAAAACAGAAGACCTTACCGCAGCCCGGAAACGCCCACCGTCCTGTCTAGCAACCACCCCCGCAAAACCCATCCGAGATGATTTAGACCAACTAGCATCCACATTGATTTTAACAAAAGGAGAAGAAGGAGGACACCACCTGATAGCAACCTCCTCCCGAGAAACCGAGACAGGCCGAGCAATACCCACAGAAGACATAGCAAGCAAAAAGTTCCCAAAGGCGGTCGACAACGAAAAAATAACCTTAGACGGATTGACAGGAACCTGGTTGAACACAAAATCACAGCGAGCTTTCCAGATGAACCAACAAGAGAACGAAACATAAGCTTGGAACCACTGCCTGTCAGCCGAAGAACCCCAGTTAGGAGAAAACACATCCTACAACCACCGATCCCACGAGACAATACCGGCAGCGTCCACTTTGTAATTCAACGCTCCACCAAACCAAACAGCCGCCACCCAATGACAGCGAAGGAAGACATGCTCCATAGTTTCATCAGCATTACAAAGAGGACAAGAGGGAGAAGAGGATAACCTTCTTGAAAAAAGAGCCTTACCAGTAGGCAGGCCAAGATGCAACGAAACCCATAAGAAATGCCAAATTTTGGGAGGAACAGCCAACTGCCAAATGCATTTCCACAGAGTTTTAGAAATCGAACGAACAACCGGCATCCGATGATCCCTCACCTCAATAGAGCGAACTTGCAGCCACATGTACCCCGATTTCACCGAGTATTTGCCATTCCGGTTAGCAGCCCAAACAAGCCTGTCCTTCCACTTCGAGTCTCCAATAATTGTTTCCTGGATAGCCCGTTGATCCGCTAAAGAAAGAAACGGTCTTAGAAAATCAAAATCTCATTGCCGGGGAGAGGAGTCAATGAGGGAGCCGACCCGTAAGTTCGACGTAACAGAGACAGAACCAAGCGGCAAAGGGTGCCCCGAAGGGAGAGAGGGCAGCCACCTATCCACCCAAACCCTCACCTCCTTAGTTGTATGTATTTCTTGTTAAACTCGGGTGAGAGAATGAAAGGATTAGGACCAATAGGGAGCTACTGATTTAGTTTCACGATCCGTGGCACATGCAAAATATGACATCCGAACCGTTCACTAACGATTGTAAAAAACACAGCGAGTGGACGCAGTGACCGTCCGATCAGGCGGCGGGGCAAAACAGTAAATGCAAGGCAACGCGGTCCGCGATTCCGCCGCCAAGTTGGGTTTGTTGAACAAGCAATATATATACAAAGAGAGAGGTACGAACTCTGAATTCGCACCCTAGTTTCTGACGACAGAATCTCCTCTCTCCAAATCCAAGAATTCGCTTCCGTCTTCTCGAATCTAAGAAACCCAAGAGGTAAGTCTTTCTTTTCGCTTTTCTGTTCTTCATCTTCTTCGATTCAATTTATAGCGATTGCTTCTGCAATTGGGAATTAGGGTTCTTGGGTTGCGTTTCAGATTGGGATTTTGTAGAATCGAATTGGGTTTTGATTTTTGGGGTTTTAATTTGTGGTTGCAGATGGCCCGTACCAAGCAAACCGCTCGCAAGTCCACCGGAGGCAAGGCTCCAAGGAAGCAACTTGCTACCAAGGTCCGTTTTGATACCTCCCTCAAACCCTAATTTTTGCCCCCTTTACTCTGCTTTGTTTTCTTTCAATTTGTTAATTCTGTTTTGGGATTTTCTCAGGCTGCTAGGAAATCAGCTCCTACCACCGGAGGCGTGAAGAAGCCCCACAGATACCGCCCTGGAACTGTTGCTCTTCGGTATGTAATTGAATCCGCAATTAACTACCCAATTAATCTTAAAAGTTGTAATTTTGATTCTGGGTAATACTGAAATCAATTAAGATTCGGTAATCGATTGCTCTTGTTTTGTAATTTGAATTCTGGGTATTTTAAGACGTATGATTTTATGTTGCTGGATTGTGATTGTAATGTGTTTGTGAATATGCCGCAGTGAAATCCGCAAGTACCAGAAGAGCACAGAGCTGCTGATCAGGAAGCTCCCATTCCAGAGGCTGGTTCGTGAAATTGCGCAGGACTTCAAGACTGATCTGCGTTTCCAGAGCCACGCAGTCCTGGCACTGCAGGAGGCTGCTGAGGCGTACCTTGTCGGGTTGTTTGAGGACACTAACCTGTGCGCCATTCATGCCAAGCGTGTCACTATTATGCCGAAGGATATCCAACTTGCCAGGAGAATCCGCGGTGAGAGGGCTTAAGGGATGAAGAAACAGAAAAGATGGAACTAGAATATGTTGTGTTTTTAGGGTTTATAGTTTCTTGTGTTTAATGTGTAATCTTAAGAAGTCGAGACATGGTTTTCATTGGTTGCAATTGTAATTGTGTTGAACCTCGTCGAAGTTCTATTGACTTGATAAATGCTGTTTGTATTTGAAATTTTACTGATTGGATGGTGATGGTTTGCAGTATCTGTGTTTAGTCTTCTGCCAATTTCCCGTTCGATTCTGGCTCTGATTATACAAACGTCCCGTGGTCCGTCTGCAGGCATGTTCAAAAGGGGAAACTGTTGTTTCAATTTATGGTTAATGCTTTTTGCCTGAGTTGCATCATTTATTCGTTAAAAACCTGAAACCTTTTAATTGAGAGTTTTAACAAAACACTTCTGTACTGTTTACTTATAACGAAAAATTATATTTTTATTTTTAACCAATACTATTCACTGTACCTTTAAAAATGATTTTTCATATTTTTACCTTTAACCAATACTATTCATTGTACCTTTAAAAATGATTTTTCGTTAGGACTATCTCCAACCCCTGGGCTAAAAGCCAAATTTTTTAGTCCGGAAAATTTGGCTTTTGGCCCAGAAACATCTTTTCTGCTCCAACTTTTCTGCTCTAAAATTTTAGTCTGGAATTATTAAAGAATGAACTTAGGATAATTTTTTTCTTAAATCAAATTTAAAAAAAAAAATGTAGATTATTGTAAATTAATTTTATGAATATTTTAATCTAAAAAAATTTAAATTTCAATAAACATTTGGCATTTAGCCCGTGGGAAAGCTGGGGGGTATTTGGCTCAGAAATAACATTTGACATTTAGCCTAAAATTTTAACATAGGTTGGAGAGTGTTGGGGGGGTAATTTGGTTTTTAGCCCAGGTTTGGAGATGATCTAAAAGAGATGTTTTTTTTAGACTTTTCGTTATATTTTCTTTTATTTTTTTGTTCGGAGAAAACGTGAATCTTTTGTGTACTAAATCAAAAGGAAAAGTATTGGTGTGGGCCGTACGTACCCGTATGGCTAACAACTCCATTTGCAGCCAAAGAAATTTGATACGGGGAACGCAGAAAGCGAGTAATTAAGTGAAAATTAAAATATATTTTTTTAAACTCATTAATAACCGACAACTTCATTTATTTTCTTAAATTCAAGCTATTTTATATGTTTCTTATTTTTTTAAGAAAAATAAAAGTTATTTAAAATTTTGAATTTTAATCAAAAGTCATCTAATATTTTTATTCAATGATAAGAACAAAAGAAAGAAAAGGAAAAAAAACAAAAAAAAAAAAAAAAAAAAAACCAAACAAAAACACTTGCAAGGCATACGCCCATGTTCAATTTTTAAAATAGTGTCTGTGTTCAATTTTATAAATAGTCAATTTAGGAAATAGTGCAGTACCCGTGTTCAGTTTCAAAATAGTGATAGTACTAGTTTAAGAAATAGTGTAGTACACATTTTCAATTTTAGAAATACTCATTGTTCAATTTAAGAAATAGTGAGGGAGAGGAGAGACTGTGATGCACGTGCTGATCCCGCTAGGGATGGGCAACGGTTATGGCGGGCGGGTAACCGCGGTTATTTACCCATAACCGTTTAAGTTTTTACCAACATAATCATTTACCTGTTATGTATTTACATAAACGGGTATACTTATACCCATAACCGTTTATAAACGGTTAACCATACCCATAACTGCATTACCATTTACCCATAACCGCATACCCATTTAACCATAACCCATTACCCGTATACCCATTTAACCATAACCCCGTACCCGTTTACTCTTTTTTTTTTCACCGTCTACCTATTTTTTTTAACAACTTGAAAATTAAAAAGAAATTTGTTATAATTTTCTTTTTCTAACAATTAAATACCGTTACAAATACATTTAACATGAATTTTTGTATTAACGACAATATTATTTATGAATGTATGTGATGTCTCCCAATTATTTGACGGTCAATCTATTCCAAGAATCATGCATGGTTGTATGTTAATTAATATTCTTGTACACACACACACACACACACACACACACACACATATATATATATATATATATATATATATATATATATATATATATATTATATGACCAAAACTCCAAAAGACTCAAGGTAATCATTATCTTGAATTGGTCAAAAATCGACTGTAAACACGGAATTCCTGCAATGAATGAGACAAGAACACGTGTACAAAATAATATTTGTATTAATGATTTAGGGGTTACAATCTCTTCTACGAATTTGGCCTCTGATTCTATCTTTGAAACGTGTAGATGTAGTGTTGTTGATCCAGGGGCCGTCGAGGCTTGATCTTGGACGAACAGTTGATGAATGATGAACACCTTCTTCAAGGGCCGTCGGGGCTTGATCTTGAATGGGTGGAAGTTCTTCAAGGGGCGTTGGGGCTTGATCTTGAAGGAGGACGAAGAACGAAGAGGGCTTTCTTGATCCTTCGGGATTTGCTTGAGAGCTTCTAAGTTTCGAGGCTTCAAGGCTTTGGTGTGGTGTGACTTCTCTTCCAATTTGGGAGTAGAGAAAGTGTATGTAAAAAATCCTCTCTTGATTCTTTGATGAAGGAGCCTATTTATAGGCTTTGGGAATGAACCACCACCATCCATTTGTTTTGGTGGATGTTGTAGGTGAATTTGGTGGATTGTTGTAGGTGAATTTGGGTGGAGGTTGTAGGTGAATTTGGATGGATTGTTGTAGGTGAATTTGGGTGTATGTTGTAGGTGAATTTGGGTGAAGGTTGTAGTTTTAATGCAATGGTCAACATTTATTTCACTAAAATTTCAATGTTTACAAATGTAATTTTAATGTGATGGCTAACATTTATTTCAACGAAATTTCAATGTCTACAAATGCCCCCCACTTCAAGGCGCGTAGTATATACATGTGCTTGTCACGTGTAGAAGATGCGTTTTGAAGTCCCTTAATGTAGATGTCGATCCAAGGGCCGTTGAGGCTTGATCTTGAACTGGTCTGGGAGTTTCTTCAAGTGTCGTTAAGGCTTGTTCTTGAATTTTGTTTGAAATTTCTTCAAGGGCCGTTGAAGCTTGATCTTGGATGAAATTGGACCACAAGGAGCTTCACGTAGTAGACGATCCTTGGCTTTGATAATGGATGAATCGGCATGTATTTTGTTGTGCTTGTTGACTTTCCACAGCTTTGATCTTGAACTAGGCTGGATGAGTTTTCTGGTTTCCTCCAAAGGACTTTCCACAGACGTAATCTTGAACTGGATTTGACTCAAGGGTGGTGGACACTTGATCTTAAGTCAGGGTCGTTGAGGCTTGATTTCGAACTTAAACATGACCACGAGCAGTTTCAGGACATGCATGCTTTGAAAGATCAAGGAAGTTCGCATCATTTTCATATGAACCCTGAGCAGTTTGGTCAACAGTATGATCTTCAAGATTGATGGGCTCTTCTTCCAGTTGGTGACTTGATCTTTAAGGATTATCGAGGCTTTGCTCTTCGGTGACGGTGCCAGCGAAGGGTTGTTAAAGCTTCTCGAGCCTTTTGGTTAGAGCAACGCTGTCCAGCTTGGATCTTTACTTGAACTCCTCCGTCTGGATTGTGTGGTTATGCAGGGAAGGGCTTCATGCTTCATGATTTATTCCAGCTCGTTGTATTGCATTCTTCTCTGCTTGTTTCTTTTGCATAGCTGAAGCGGTGTGCAACCTTTTGCCTTTAAATGGTTCTTCGGAGCACAATCTCTCAGCGACTCACCCCATGCTTGGCAGCTTCAGTGCAAAGCGCCGATGTTAACAGATCCACACTCCTGAAGCATTTGCTGAGGGAATTCGAGACATATCAGCAGTTGAAGATGAGCACTCGAGAGCAACGCTAGGTAAGTAACCAGGCAAAGGTTCCGGGCAATCAGTTCCTGGTCGGACATTTAATTTCAGGTTCCGACTGATTGCATCCCTTTCTCCTTGTTCAGCAGGCAAGAGCAAGGGCAAAGGAGAAGATGAGGGAAGAGCATGATGATATGAGATTACCTTTGCTTTCGACCCCAGTGATATGAGATACTTTTGCTTTTGAAGAAGTAGCGGACGATCAGCACATGCATTCGTCGTGCTTGTCTCCATATGCTTCGATGCATCATCTTCATCTGCATCATCTTCACCTGCATCATCTGTTTTCCAGGCAGACGTGGTAGACGAAGAGGAAGCAAAAGATGTTGAGGATGAGTATTCGAGAGCACGGCTAGGTGAGCAATCAGGCAAGGTTCCAAGTAGTCGGTTCCTTACCAGGAGCTTGAGTGGAGGTTCCGACATATTGCTTTCTTTATCCTTGTCTTCGCAGTGAAGAGGGAGGACAAAGAAAAAGATAGGGAGAAAGCATGCTATGAGATACTCTTGCTCTCAACCCCAATGATATGAGATACCTTTACTCTGGTGTGGCTTGGTTGAAGAGGCGTTTCTAGGAAGGAAGAAAACTGAGTTTTAGTTGCAGATGCCCTCGGCCAGGAAGAAAAGGGTCAGGCTGGATGTGTGTCTTGCTATGGGATGGAGGTCGAATTATATGGTGAGCTCTCAACATCAAGTGGCAGGGTGAGCGTGGCCTTGTCACCCACGCTTGTCGGAAGAAGTGCGGTAGTTGGCATAATGGACCTCACGCGTTTTCAACTTTGTCAGTGATATCTGACAAAGTTGCACGTGATAGCCGAAAGCTGAGATTGTGTCTGAAAAGTGTCGACGGACTTTACGCAGGAAAATCCGGGTTTTGAAATTCGGAGAGTGGTGTCTCTTCGATTTACGAACGAATGGTTGTGCTGCTTCTCATTTTTAAGAGGTGTCAATTGTATTCAACACGCACAATTTGAAGATTGCCTGCCCGTGAAAAATTATCTCTGCTATTCTTTGCTTCATCCAACCTTTTTCTTTTAGTATTTTTTGAAAATGGCTTCCCCTTTTAACATTTGCTTAGATTTGAGTCTTAGCAGTGACACAGGTGCACCGCGTCAGGGTAATGTATGGCGCCCGTCTTTTTTTCTTCTAATGGCCCTCTTACAGTTGAGGACTCTGTGATGAGGGATGCAACCACGGCTACGGTTGTAGCTAGAAACCTCATCACTCCTAAAGATAATAGGATACTTTCACGACGGTCCGATGAGTTAGCTGTTCAAGAGTCCCAGGCTCTCAGTGTCCAGTGTGCGAACTCTGTTTCCAACA